TTATTAAATGTTTAACAAATGTCAATTTACTAAATTAATTTTTATTTTATTTTAGTTAAAAATTTAATCAGTTATTATTTAATTCAATATTTTCCAAAATCTTGACTTTTTAATTAACAATTTATTAGACTTCTTTTTTTATTAAAATTAATTTAAAATTAATAAACAAAAAATAAATTAAGGAAAATTATTCTCAGCAATAAATTTCAAAAATAATGAATTAGAAATTAATTGAAAGAAAGAAATTTTAATTAATTAAAAATTGATTAAATTAAATTATTCCATAAGTTAAAAATTGTAAATTTGGAGAAATAAAGCTAGTCTAAAGTTAATAAAAAAAATAGTTTAATAAAATTGTTAATTCTTCTTAACCAAAAACTTTCTTATAAATTCACTCCAATTTTCATATTAAAAAATTTGCAAAATTTCAACGAAATTGAATCAAAAAAAAATTTTTTTTTTAATTGTCACAAAATTCATATTAAAATATTTCTTCAAACATTGTTTGTATGCGCAACATTTTCAAACTTGTATGCCAATAAGCATTTTATCGCCTCAATTGGTGGAGAAATTCTGAAGACAACCACAATTAGGCTAAATTCAATAAACAATCAATCAAAAACCTCCAGCCAAAACCAATTTGTTTGAGCCAAACCGCAAATAAGGAAATGATTGGACTTACAGAGTAAAAGACTGCCAAAAATAAAAATAAAACCAAACAAGTTGCGTCCAACTGACTCAGCATTGTTTGCTGATCAACTGATCGCGTCAAATTCGATCCGCCGCGAAGCTTTACAGCCCGCAAAATATCTGCGGAAAGATGATCGATAAAGGCACGATCACTGAACAAATAAAAAAGAATCAAGCGGGCTAAAAATAAGCAACACGAATGATGAAGAAATTCCCGAAACACAGCTGAATAATATGTTTCAACAAGGTGATCGCGCAATTTACGCCACACACATACAAAGGAAGAATAACTCAGTACTATGGAGGCTGTGTAAACAAAGAAATTTTAAGGGAAAAAACTAAAGAAATTTGTTAGCGAGACGAACACAAACACACGTTTTTCATTGCGCGCTTCGAAAAACTAACAGTCGGCAACGTGATCATGACTCAGTGCTCGTGTTGCGTCGATCGATAGGAACGCGGCGAAAACGCAAAAAATTAATTTTTGTAAGCGTCAAACTTAGTCAGCATTTTTTCTTCATTTATACACTGCAACGCCTTTAGTTTTTTCCTGCAACCACTCACTTAATTGCGAAGATGCAGCAAGGCTGATCGTGCAGCTGTGCAAATAAAGTAAATATCACAGGCCTGCAAATTACAGTGTGCATAACGAGCGCTTGCCTTCCCACAGCAGTACGGGATATAAGACGCATTTTAGAGTGGCTCTTCTGTTACGCCGCAATGAGCAGGCAAATCAAGTGATCCTTGCCTGCGATCTTGTCAGCCAATTACGCGTATTGCGTTTATTGGCCAGCCAAATTGCGCCAAGCCGTTTTTGCAAACCCCGCATTATGCTTGTACTTATTTGTTTTGCAACCAAAAAAAAAAAAAGTTGGCTTATAACCAATAATTACAGTCAACTTTTGATTGGGTTGATTGTCTGCCTTCACTGTGACGACTGCCTGCAAATTATGCACGATCTCGGCAGCAGGCAACCGGCAACCGAGCGGAAAGTGTAGCGGCAGTGCCCCTGAGTGCATAATATTGGCGAAGAAAATGAGTATCAGACGAACTGTAGGCTTGAATTCACCAACCAATACCCACAGCTGGTCCCCAGTACCATTTAAGCTCAGTTATCATATCACTCACGATCAGTTCAAGAATTTAGAATTTGAGGATTACTTGTTCAGTACTACGCTTTTGGCAGAATTTGAAATTTATTAGCTTGTCTTCACCATTTGTCTAAATTCATTAAAAACTCTATTTTACGACTGCTATCATCTACTGGGTCTATGCATTTTTAATGATCCTCACATAAACTTGCAAGATGATTTTCTACGATCGCTATCATACTGTTTTGGCTTCTCCACAATCGAAAGGCCAACAACTTCCTCACTTCCATGGTCACGGCATCTACAATGTATCTTCGCTCATCTGTAGATCACACTGTGATCAATGATCCCTTAGCCAGCATGCGATTCCTGCAGACTAGCAAGCTTGTATCACATTTCTTCTCATCTTTTTCACATTGCATGTTGCACGATCTTCGCCGTTTGCGCATTTATGGCATGCTATATCGTGTACGTGTATAAAAAGTGCAAAACAAAGTAGGGAAGAAATCAAACATTGCCGCCACAGCCGATCTTGCAACACTGCCACAGCCAGCAGGAACCAGCGCAGACACAACTCACTTACGGCCAGGCCACACTGCGGCCGTCTGCACCCTTGCCAGCCCGACTGGCTGTGCAATTGCGGCGACTGATCGTGTCAAAACTGACATGCCATGGATCATATTGCAAATATGACGGCGATCGTGCATGGCGAACGCGCGTATCGTCTGGAGC